GGTAATTATGACACTCTCAGAGATGAAGGGTATTTTTTAATAAGGCCCAATTAGACTTTTAAATTAATTTAGAATGCTGACAGACACAGGAAAACCCTCGTTTTAGTCTAGATGTCACCGCTGCTTCAGCCGTTTTGAGGAGCCCTCCAGCAAAAATAGGTCAAGCTGATAATTTTGGCTTTTCTGAGAGAAAAAAAGTGGCAGCATTTTTACAGGTCCACAGTTCTTGAACTTTCAGGACTAATTTTAAAAGGTCCTGCAAGATCATTACTTTGATGCAACAAAGGCTGCTTACCTGGGAGCATAATGAAGCATGCGTACACTGTAAGTTTACTGCCTGAGGTATGTAGTGCATGAAAAGCAGGGAGACATTTAGAGCATACCACACTCTGGTATTGGTATATTCCTGGTGTGGACGTATCCAAGTAATCCTGTAATAACTGCTGGATTCAGGCTAGTATACCGTGTACTTGATAGATTCAAGCCTTCAGTCCATAAATGGGACAAAATGTTTCCTTTCAAGTTGTATTTCAGATTTCCATGTACCATACAGAAAAATATATTCTAGTAGTAGTTTCTAGCATGATTGCATGTCAGAGTAAAGACCATTTTATAATAATTGCATCCAAAGCAGGTCTGAGTATCCCAACTCTTGGTGCTCATATGTTACACAAGAATTTGTTTCACAAGCGACAGAACCCACCAACTTGACTCTTGTATACATGTGCAGCTTTACATTCCAATGACCATTCTTGCAATGTTTTCTTATTTAGCTGACTTCATGTATTTCACCTGGTGCCAACACAAATGAGGACACTTTGGGGGTGGAATTCACAGTGTAGTGTTGAACAAAAAAACTTTGTAAAACTGTTTGTTAAAGTCCTCATAATTTTTTCTGATTGAACAGTAGCAGGAAATATACATATTCATTAGTGGTAGACATGTTTACTAATTATTTCTCTTGCACTGATTCTTAGGCTTAAGTTCACATTGCTGTTTAAGCACCTACACACCTTTGCAGTTGAACCTTAGTCATGTGAAGTTTTGCATTTGTAAGGGAGTGTCTATATAACAAGATTAATTTAGCTGTTTGATTTTTTTTTTTTTTTGGACTTCCAATATCACATTATAGTAACAGCAATAGATGATGAGCTGTCCTTCCTACATGTGTTTTTGTTTGAGGAGGGGAAGCGTTTCTCTTAGAATATGGAGAAAAACAGACGAGGATAGTTTCCTTGAATAATTTTAGTATTCATTTTAAAGAAAGTTGTCTTGATAATCATAAAGGCAACAAAGACCTTGTAGGTGTGGCAGTTTTGCTGGCAGACAGCCCATGAGCTCTGAGTTGCCTTGTGTTCACAGAGCTACTCGGATCAAGGACTAATTAACAGTCCCCTAAAAAGATGTGCATTGGTTATTTCTGTTATCCATTGAGATTGTCCTTCTGATTTTTTTTTTACACTAATTGCTTACTGAAACAGTGTTTATGGGCAAAACTTGAAATATGAAATGAACCTACAAAAATATTTTTCACCGTAAATGTCTTTTAAGGCTAAAGTTACGGGACTATGTTAAACCTCATTTCAGTCTCCATATTCCAACTCTTGATGATGCTTGTAATTCAAGACTTGAGAATGTTGCAGTGAGTGAAGTGTTGTACATAATTCAAGTTTACATATACATTTTCAAAATACACTTGTGATAGTTATGTAAGAGTTTAGAACAAGCTGTTGATTGTAGAGCATATTGACTTAACCTGTTAGCCAGTGATGAAGTAGCAAGTTCATTTTTACAATGTACTATAGTTTTGCTGTCCTCATTTTTTTCAAGGGAATTACAGACTACTTTAATGTGTACAGCATGTAGGCTGGCAAGGATACAAAAACAAGACTTTGACTTTTATGGAAAAAAGTCTTTTCCTACTAAATACATTTTAAAGTGTTTTTTGTTCCTGTCCCTGTCATTCCCCTCTCCTCTCCCCCACTTCCCACAAGAAAAGAGTATTAACACTTCAAAAGTTCCTGTGGCAGTCAGGTTTGAAGCACAGTAATGTAAATAAATAAATATTGTTTTGACTTTTAAAACTAAACCCAGATTTAATTAATATATTGTTTTATATCTTTGTTGTATTAAAGCAAATATTTAAAAGAATTAAAAATAAAATTGTTGAAAGCTGTGCTGGAGGCTTTTTTTTTTTTTTTTGTAATTTAAATTGATGGTCAGATATCTTGTCAAGAATTGATCAAAATTGGTTCAGTTTTTAAGCTGTCTCCTACAACAGAGACACCATGTTCGTTTGGGGTTTCTGCAATATTTATTACAAGGACTTCAGAGATGGACTCAAGCTTCTTTCTAAATCAGGTGTGGGCAGAATATGGCCCATGGGCCAGATCCAGCTTGCCAAGGCATTTTGTCTGGCCCATAGTAGGTCCCTTGTCCTTGCTTAGCCCCAGGCACAGAGTGCAGCCTGTGCAAGGTCCCACCACCCCGGGCACCCAGCGAGGCTGGGGTAGCGTGGCAGCCAGAGTGGACAGACTCAGTTTCCCAGCAGCCCCTGTGGTGGCTTCTTCCAGCTGCCACTGCTGGACCAGCCCTCATCTGTCTGCCTTGCACCCACTGCTGGGATAGGGCTGTGTGCAGGTGGGGACCTGTGTCCAGGAGTGTGACAGGCAGGCAGACTGGTGACTAGGATCAGGATCATGGGGCAGTGACAACGCAGGACTGGGACCCAAAGCAAGCTGCACTCCACTGCCTACCCATGCCTGTGATGGGCACAGGTTCTGTGGGCAGAGGTGTGCAGAGAGCTGATCACAGCTCTGCCTCTGGCCCCAGCCCCAGCGTCGCAGTCCCATGATCCTGATTCCAATCCTGGCCCCATTTGTCCCATTCCTGGGTGTTGCTTTCCACCCATATGCGATCCCATCCCAGCCACCCAGCTGCACGTGGGGGCCACTTAGGGAGTTTTGGTGAGCTCTGGTGGGGGAGGGGGAGAGGATGCTGACCCATTGTGTGACAGCTCACTAAAACTCCCCAAGTAGCCCTCCAGCCAAAATAATTGCGCACCCTTGCTCTAAATAATTAGCTATACTGAAAGCCTGTTATTCTGGTTCTGAAAAAGAGAAGTTTCATTCTAATTAATTCTATCTGAGGAAACACAGCTACCACACTGTCCCTGTGAGAATCATTTCCAATTGTTTCTCTTAAAAGAAGAACTAGGTGTTAAAAGGAAGCATCACCTGACACTGCTGCAACAGTGATGGGTATAAACCCTCACTTCCCCAGTGGGACAAATGTGATTCCAAAGATTCATTTGATTTTAAAAATATATATACAATATAAAAAAAAAAATGGAAATGTTGAATACATAGATGTACAACTAGGTGCTGTTTTTCAGTTCCTGTAGATGAAGCCTTGACGGACTAGAACTATAGAAGACTGAGTAGGACAGTCCTGCCATGAGAGAATCTACACAATGTGTGATCATGTCACATTGGTCTCTCTTACTTCATAGACGTTGCCTGCTCTGGCCAATTGATCTGAGCCAGGGGCGGGCGATTGTTTTGGGCCGAGGGCTGCTTACCAAATTGTGACAAGCTGTCAAGGGCTGCATGGTTAGCCCCGCCCCTTGACAGGTGCCCTGGTTGCTGTCTTGTGACCAGATGTCCCACCCCCTAGCCCCTGACCTTTGCCACCAGAAGTCCCTCCCCTTGCCCCCCAGAAGTACTCCTTTCAGCAAGGGGTTTTGCCATCTCAGAACCAGAAAAATATCAAATTATATTCTAAAAAGTGATCATCTACAACCTTCATTAATTTAATTAAAAAAAATATTTTTGTCCTGGTTTACATGTGTTTGTGTAGTGTACACAGAGGTGACTGCACAATAGCTTAAAGTGAAGTCTTGTTTTTGTATGTTCTGAGGGGGGGTACAGGTTTGTGGGGCCAGTGGGTGCATGGGTATGTGGGGTATGGGGGGAGGGTGCCTGGGGTTTGTGTATGGCAGTGCAAGGGGAGGCGTAGGTGCATGTGTATGAAGGGATCCGCGTGTGGGACCCACCCTATGAACACACATACACATACACACTCTGCCCCTCTGCCTGCATGCATGCATGTGCATGTGCACACACACCCCCCCCTACCAGTGCAGTCCCCTCCCGGGATGCAGAAGCCACCTGGTGCTGGAACA